ATTTCTTACACCCTAACATTGTTTTTGGTTCCAGTCTTCTACAACTCGAAAAAACATTTTAAGGCTTGATTCTAGACAATTGATTTTAAGCAGAGAGGGTAAATAGTAATAATAATAAGATGCGCAACGACAAAGGAAAGAGAGAGCTTTCTACAGCTTTCTCCAGGCTCAAAGAGAGTGCTCTCTCTTCTCAAAACGTTCTAGATCTGTCTGACTGTATACGTATTTGCTGGAGTTCGTGTGTACTTTTTTCTAGTTTTTTTACTAGACTTATTATACTTTTAGACTTGTACTCGTTATGCATCTTATTGTCTTTAATTAAAGAGTCTGGCTAGATTGATTCGCCTGATACCTGCTTTATGGTCTCTAAAATGTATATTAAATATAATTTCAAACAGATAAAGATACTTATAATACCCCACAAAAGGCAGCCCAAAGGGTAGAGAATATGAGAAAGGGAAATGGGAAAATGGAAATGGAAATGGAAAAAAAGATGATGAGGAAGCAAGCAGCAGTAGCAGTTTTGCCCTTAGGGGACGGTGACCCGCTAATGAGCCGCCAAAGCATAAAGAAATGTGACAAGGGTCGGGCTTCTCACCTCCAGCCACCGCCCTGTGTGCCCATTTTCCGGGGAAAAATAGGCGCAAGGCCAGGCCAACAAAAACAACAACAAAGCCAAGAAGATGCAGCGCAACAAATTATTCCTGCAGCTCATTATAAATCCAAAGGGTAAACAAAAAGCAGGACGAACAAATCGAAGGGAAAGCGCCACAATGCAAAATGCGAAAAAAGCGCGAAAAAGCCAAGGGAAAATCAACAACAGAAATTGAAACTAGGCTGCTGCAGAGGTGAAAGTGAGCCAAGTTAAACACAATTGAAATTGAAATTGAAATTAGTTGGCGAGCATGAAAATTAGGTAACTAAAGAAAAGTTGTTGATAAATTTCAGGTGAGAACAGGGAAATATAAAAGAACCTTTAAGGATATACAAGTTGAGACTCTCTTAAGGATTTTTAAACAGCTTAACCACATTCTAAGCACATTTTCCAATGGTTGAAGACTAAATTTTCTTTGATTTTAAGTGCTTTTCCTTTAGGGATTTCCCCGTTCTATGCATGTGCGCTCCATTTACACACATTTTTCTCTTAATGGGTCAGAGCGCCGTGAGGGGGTTAAAGGATCCCGATCCTGCCGGTGACAGTTGGTGGGGGGGGCTGCTTGATTAAGAACTTAGTTAAATGGAAATCTACACAACAAATAAAACAAAACAAAAAATGTAATAAAATGAATGGAAATAGGGCTGGGACAACAACAAATGGGTGGCGCTCAGCAAAGAGCAAAGAATTTAATTTGCACAAAAAGGCACACAGAGACAAAACAAATATGAATGGGGAAACGGGACGGGACGGGATGGGTTGAGTGGGGGAAATGTCCCTAAAAAGAGCAGCGAATTTCGCCTTTTGAGCTTGGGCATCATATATATCTTTCAGTCAACAGCAGCAGGCAGTCCACAGTTGGTTTGTCACACAAAAAGACAGCAGCAGCAGCAGCAGCAGCAGCAGCGGCAAGATCCGACTTGGGGGAACCCCAAGCTCCAAACCCGAGGAACCCCCTCTTTCAATTTCCACTTCCACTTGCCGTCGTCTGCGACAGCAGCGTTGCAATTAAATGAACGCAGCGCACAAAAGTATGCAATACAAATGGCTCTGCCTGCGAGTCGGGCTAAAAATTAAGCCGGAGAGAGTCCAATTTGTACAGAGAGGGACAGAGGGAGGACCTGGGCTATACCAAGGCTGTTCCAGACTCATACAGGAAACGAGGATGTCTAGAATGAAATACTAGTATATCTGGTGCCTACAAGTACTTGTACAATATTAAGTTTATCCTGAAACACTGGTGCCCAGAAATCGAAATCGGGTGAAGAGTATTTAAAAAGTATGGAAATATATACTGTTTTCAAGTTTAAAAGCTAGTTTATAGTCGTTGTTATTTTTATATATTTTTTTACAAATTATTGTAGCTATCTTTAGCCTCTATATTCCGCAAATGTCGTGTAAACATGCCTCTGTCCTTAAAGTCTTGCCAAATAATATGAATAAATTCTTTACATTCAAAAATTTATTGCTAAACTGAATCACTTTATCTGTAAATTTTATGTCCTGGCAATGTTTATTGTTTATTTATCTTGCCTTCAAATTAAGTTCTTTTCACATCTCTCGGCAGAACCATAATATTTGGTTATGTTTTTATGACCCACCTTCGAGCGATTGAAAGCATTTTTGAAAACCATAAAGATTTTTGGGAATATAGCTTGGAGTCGGGGCCAATGCACACGTGCAGACATAAAAGCGGTTATATATCCAAGTTACGTGCACTCAACACCTGCCGAGAGTCCTTTCAAGTCAAGAAACCTCACCTGAACGAGGTCCTTAAAGCAATAAAAGTGTGATAAAAACAATGAAATAAAATGTAAAATATAAATATGCGTTGAAATATTTTGAATTTGAAGGATTTATGGTTATATATTTAAATTTTTAAAGCTGTAACTTTTAAATATTAAATCAATTTCATTACCAAAGCTAAAGATACTCTGCTATATTTGAAGAATTTTTGAAGAATTAATTGAAATGTCTTAGAGTATAAAATTCTATATATATGTATATATATCTCCTTTCTAAATCACCTGAATCACTTGCTTGCCGCTTTCAGAATTGAAGATGTCATCCCAGACCTGGTTAAACATGGAATTCCCCACAGACTTTGAGGAAAGGAAACCCAGGACCCTCTCCGTTCTCCCACTCTCTGAATTGGCGAGTGTGTGGCAAATGCAATTGAAAGTGATAATTTCATTGCATCATGCACAAAGGCTACCCTTCTGAAGGGGGTGTGGGTGATGGGGAGGCGAAGGACTTTCATCCACATTCGTATCCGCATCCGCTGGATGCCCCATTCTCCAGCTTCCCATTCCCTTAACGGTTATCAGACACGTCCATGACCAGTTACATACATACATACATACATACATATATACATATGTGTGGGTGGTTGTGTAAGTATGTGTGTATATATGTATGTAGGTAGGGGGAATGTACACCCCCCCACATACTAAGACCAAGGGAAAGCCTTCATACACTCCAGCTCTAGCCAGCTTACACTGGCAAAAATGGTTTAGAAAATTGTATATCAATTATTTATTTATAAATGATTAATATTTCAAAAAGAAGTAGGCAAAAGGGATAACGATAATCACCACATAATAACCGTATAATTTAGATAAATTCAGTTGCCAAGTTATATACTCCTCACAATTTATTACAGTTTCCTCTCAGTGCACGCTGTTGGCATGACAGTTGGGCAAATCAGGTTAAACACACGAGAAGGAGTGGGCGGTGGGTGGTGGCTGTTGAGCGAGGGGCGGGGGGGGCGTGGATTAATGGGAAATGCAAACCAAAGCCAAACCAATTGGATCATAATTGCTTTACGGGCGCCAAACGCAAATGAGTCGTAAGAGAAGGACGACGGACGAAGGACGAAGTACGAAGGACCCTGCTGTTCTGGATTCTGGATCAGAACAAGATTGGGGGAATGGACTACAGACTGTATAGCCTGTGGACTACCGTAACGGGGGCTCATGACTTTGTCAAGTTCCACGTACAAGTCCTGCTGGAGGCAAAGGAGGCTAAGGAAGCTAAGGACTAAGGACCTGTCGATTTGTATTCAGAGAAGCTTAGACCCGGTAAGACGTTGAGACCCACAAATCGAATTATCAATTGGGCCATTACTGGAGGAGAGTGTGTCTCAAGCAGATGATGACCAGTTAGTATGGTTAAAGTTAGTTAGTATGCCTCTAGGATATACAATATAAACCAACATTCAACACTTGTCAAGGATTAACCTTAAATAGATACACATAAGTGACCCAGTTTAAAGAAGGAAAATAGTCTATAGAATATATATCTATAAATTAGATAATTATATGTATTATATTCCCATTTATATTAGTTTTCAATCACTCAAAGCTTACATACATTTTCCCACATCTCTCCCGCTGGCTCGTTGGCCCCTTGCTGAGCCATTCTCGATACATTAACCGCACTCATCATTAGGCGAGTTGAGTTATTAAATCAAATCATTCATTCAGCGAGTGCAAATATTTGCACCACTCCCCCCACAGCGTGAGGAAATACGTACAAGTATAAAAATAATAAAACAAGAAGAAAAAAAAAAAGCGGAAATAAATCAAAAAGGAAACCAGTAAAAATGATTGCGGCTCCTGTAGCGACGTCATCGTTAATTTGTTATTTGATGAACGCTCTAAGCACACATAACCGGGAAGTCCCAGCGCTTAAGTTCCCTTTCCCGGGCTCCGGACCCCGGGGCCACCCTTTGCCTAGGAGCCACTGGGGCCCACTCAGTCACAGCTCGCAGGAGTCAGCGGCGCACGGTGAAGGACTAAGGACGAGCGATGGAGAGCGGAGAGCGGAGAGCGGAGAGAGCGAGGGACGACGACAAACGTCAACGACGCACTTAATGAGCCCCGTGTGGCCAACATGTTAATCCATCCCGGTCTGAACGGACCACACTGCGCGAAATGGGGGACTATTTTAAGATTTATACATATTATACTAATATTTGTATATATTTAAAATATTTTTAGATACCTACAATTAAATGTATTACAGAACTTATTTTCTTGAAGCACTCAATTTTCTTTTGTTTTTCTGGGCAAAGGGCGGATTCCCTTTAGATTTATATATAATAAATAATATATTTATAATATTTGGACTTATTTTGTTAGAGTTCTAAATGTTCTAAGGCTTTTAGATCTTTTCCTTATGCATAAAACTGGTTTTAAAAATTGTTCTTGCACTTGGGCTTAAACTTATAAAAACTAAAAAAAAAATAGTTGTTTATGTTTAATGCTTAAAAAAAGAATAATTCAATCTTTTAACTTTATCTTGTAATAATCCTAAAAAAATTTCCTTACTTAGTTTTACATACCTTGATTTAATTCTCAGTTAAAGTTGAAAATAACTGCAAGAAGAGAGAAAAAAAAACGTAAATGTTTAGCACATTAATTTTATAAGAGAATAATGAGTTAACACAATATAACCAAAAGATGCATAATGCCCAAAGAACTAATATTTTAAGCTAGCAAAGTTTATGTTAAAAATTCAGTTTACAAATTTAAAACCGGCAAAAATAAGAGAAAATATTAGAGGAAGCATGAAAAATACAACATAATTTCAAGGCGTTATGCATCTTAATATTATATTTTTATTATTATATGTAGTTGAGGCTTTACGAGTTTATTTTGATATATTTTAAAGTAAGATAAATGTCAATGAAAAATATCCAAAATAATAACACATTTAAGTAAATTAAATATATTTAACTAAAGAGATTTTACATGTTGTGCAGTGCTTAAACTCCGGACTATGGACTCCCGTCTCCCCACTCCCTTCTCCCCACTTCCGACTCCCGATTGCCAAGTCGTCATTCAACGCAATTTTCCCACCACCCACCACCCACCACCCACCAAGAGCCACCGCCCACTGCTGCAACCACCCATCGCATTTGTTTCGCGAGCGCATACGAATGCATTTTTGTGTTTAATTGCCCCCCGGCCATGGGAAATCCCCAAGCGGATTTCCCAGCTATACTATATAGCAATGGTTGGTAGAAAGGCAACAATTTTTTTTATTTTTTTTTATTTCACGCTATTTATTAAGGGGCGGGGTGGCGTTCAGGGGGCGGCACTTATGGAAAGTGGGTGGGCTGAGGGGTCAAAAATGGAGTCGCATAAATCAAGAAACTGACGAGGCGTCAATGGCAGGCGGCGACGTTCGGTCCAGTCGCCACTTCCTAGCTTTTCTTTGACTTTCGTTGCTTCACCCATTTCCCACAATTTCCCCACAATTTTCATTTCCACTTGTGTTTTTTTACACTCTTGGCGGAAGCTGGCCAAGGCAAATTATAAATTAATAACGCTAAAAATTTCATTTCAGAGGGGAGCCTCGTTATAATAAGGACTTTAGCTGAATAGAAAAATGTTAAGCAAGGCATAAATTTACGTAAATAACATTTTTGAAACCCTTTTCCATTGACCAAATATGTATAAATAAATTTGCCTTATTTAATTAAATCTCTCTTAATGAAATTCTTGTTATATTTCAAGGTAATATCCCACACAAAAGGTTAAGAATTTTAGAGTTCGTAAAGATAATGAAATGAACTTTTTACCAACTCTTTTTTTTTATATAAAAAATAAGAACTTCAAGCTAAAAAAAATAATAAAAAGAAAACCATTCCGGGCCGGCTAGAGCTAGGGCTGAAATTGGAACTGGCCGCTGGCCACTGGCCACGGGCTATGGGCCATCAGACATCAGGCATCAGACAGCGGGTCCAATGAGACCAGGGGCCATGTCGTCGTTGTCGTTGTCGTTGTCGTCATGGCCCTGTTAGATCGCTCTTTGGGGTAAAATAAATTACCATAATTTAAGCGTAATTCAGTGCCAGTGGCAGCAAAAACTGTGGGCCCTATGGCGTTGGCGGCCAGCTCCCAGCCCGAAACTGGATCTGGAGTTATGGCGACTATACACACACACACACACACATACGTATAAACTTATATGGTGTACGAGTATGTGGGTGTGGGTGTCGTTATGTCGTCTTCTTGGCTAAGTGGACACGAAACATGCACGGACCAGCCATGATTTGTTGGTGGCCCAACTCCGCCATATATTGTTTTTTTCTTCCTTTTTTTTTAACCCTCCAGCAACGAGCATATGCAATTGGTCAATTGATTTATGCCTCATATGTATATCTGGGTATCGAAAAGCCCACAAACTTTAACCTTATTGGGGCTTACTGTATTAGGAGTGATTTGTAAAATAAGGGAATATTTTTGAAAATTTTTAGTTAGATTTAATTCAAGTAAGGTAATTATAAAGGAATATAAGAATGGTTTGTGATTTATCAGTAAGCGTTAAATAAAATTATAAAAAGAGTTTAGAAAATATTATGCCAGCAAGCCGGGTTTTATTTGAGGTAAGACCTAATATTCTGAATATTTAAATTCATTTAAAAACCTTGGACTTATTTTTCTAAATTTTTATTCACAATCTTTCTGTAAGAGAATCAAAAATAAACTTTTTATCGTTCGTCTTTGACCAAAAAAGAATTATTTAAAAAGAAAATAGATTGAGCCAAAAGGTACAGGTATAAATATAAATATTATAAATATAAATATTATTATTATTAATATTTCTTCTTAAAGCTCTTATATATCTCTATGCTAACATTCCCTTAATTAAAATTACTAATAAATTCACAACTTGTAATTGAAATCAACCATTAGAAACAAATAAAATCCCCCTCAATTCCCGAAATCCTTAACTCAAGATGCCTTATTTATTAGAGAATTTCCAAGTCGTTTGTATGAAAATCCTGGCCGGATTTCAGCTAGGACAAATGTCCGAGCGTGTTTCAGTTAAGCTTTTTGATAAACTGTCCCCTGCCCTTGTGCAGTCTTTGAGGTTCTCAAACGTTTACGGCTGCCATTTTTTTTTTTTGCTGCTTGGCTTCTCTTTTTTTTTTACTATTTTTATTTCTCTTTTTTTTTCAGAATCAGCAGACCCAGAGACCAGCCAGACAGAGGAGGAGGAGGAGGAGGCGGCTTTCAGGGGCTCCAGGGGGGCCTACGACAAGTACAAGGCTAATAAAGTTCAATAGCCAAGGCGACGCCTGCTAAATGTGCGCACAGCTCATTTGATGCACATTATCGTTGGGGTTCAGTTTGGTTTTCGCTTCGTTTTTTCATTTTGAATGTTTGCCAAAAAGAAAAAAAAAAGTCAAGAGAGATATGGAGGATTTTTGGGGAAAGCAATGTGGGGGAAATGAAAACATTTACAAGCCAGAGCCAGGCCCAAGCTCGCTGACCTGTCCCCTCTTTACGGGCCAAAGAAAATATGCTATGTTGTTTTCGAGCGCCGGCAATGGCGCCTGCAAATTGGTAGCCATGAATTCGGAGTTGAATGAATTGAAGGCAGTTGTTGCAGGCCATCGAAGGGTTTTCGGGGGCCAGCGAGGGAATTGAATGGAATGAAATGGCATGGAATCGCCTCGAATCGAACTGAATTGAATTGAATTGAATCAAATGAAATGTAGCCAAATGAAAAAAAGAAGAATAAATAAAGAGTCGCAGCGAAGGGAAGATGCCTCTGGCCCCAGCCAATCATCCTGTTGATGAGGCAACCGATTATGATGGCGGGAATGCTGATGAGCCCGATGATTTCGATTGCTGTTGTTCTGGCCATGTGGAGGAAGAATTTTAGTTCAAATAAAATTCAATTCAATGGTAAGACACATAAGAGATAGATAGCCATAAAAGTATTTGTCAGTAGAATACTATTCATTCCTTTAGCTTCTGTTTTTTCCAAGATTTTATTAAGTAAAACTGCTGCCAAGAGGCTCTCTTTGTTGCATGCTTACTTTTTCATATCAAGTTTATTTTCAAGTGTGAACAAACACTCAATTTACAGCTTATGCACAGCTTCAAAGTAAATTTTGCCGGCCAAGGCAACACTGCGTATGAGTGATAAGACATTCAGCTTGGGCATTTTAATTGTGTTTCTTTTGCGTGTGCATATTTAGTTTTGTGTTGTGTATATGTTTATTAAGAATGAAATTAAACACAGACTGAAATGGTTTAATATATAAAATATTCTTTAAAAATGAGTGGTTATAAAAAAGAAGCAATTACGACCCACAGATGGTGTTCTTTCTACACAAAACCTTGGTAACGCTTTAATCTCAAAGTTTTTATGTTGATCAAATAAAAAAATACTTAAATAATTATATTCTACATATAAAAAACAAAAAATTTGTTGGCCCATGAGGGGATCGAACCCGCGACCTTCGCGTTATTAGCACGACGCTCTAACCAACTGAGCTAATGGGCCGCTGTGATCCCCGCCGGCCAAAAACCAAACAAGATAAGCAGCGGAATAATAGAGAATGAAATAATCTAAAAATAGCACATGGATCCCACCGATCCCCAACAGCTTAAAGCTCTGTGATTAACACTGCTGCCTCTCGACTGCGGCAGTATTAAAGCCGGTGACGTGGCACAAAAGCTCAATCACCCTCAAAAGAGAACAAGGGTTGAGGCAGTGGTGGGGAGGCATAGCAGATAGGGAGCAAAAAGAAGCCGGAAATATATTCTCATTGCCAGCATGTTTGCTTCTTCTTCTGCCCGGCAGACAAAAACGAAAAGAAAAACAATAAAGAGCCCAGTAGTAGCAGCAGCAGCTGAGAGTTTCCAAGTCATTTTGCACATTTCCTTGACATTTCATTTTTTATATTTCGCCCCGCCGTCTAGTTATTCTCCGTTTTTAGTTATTCCCAGCACTCATTGCTTGCGTATGGAACGTGTTCTATTGTTGGTTGTCTTGCTTGTGAGCCAGGAAGAGGAAGCAGATGCACCTCTTTGTCCGTCCGTCAGTCCGTCATTCCGTCAGCTGTTCATTAGAGCGTCGCTTAATTAGCGTCTCGCTTTGTTTTTGCACACACACACACACTGCGTCTCTATCCCCCACTGCTACTCCCCATTCGGACTCTGCTTCCCTTTCCCATTCGCATTCGCTCTGGCTCCCTCTTAATTCGGACTTGCTGTCTCCCTCTAGCCCCAGCCCGGCTTGTTCGCTTCTTAATCAGGGAGCTTCAAGAGGACCGTGTGGCCTAATGGATAAGGCGTCGGACTTCGGATCCGAAGATTGCAGGTTCGAATCCTGTCACGGTCGAATATAAATTCTATTTTTTGTTTTCTCTATTTTAAGCGTTATTCAGCGGAGTATTTCAGAGTTAAAAGGTTTTTTTTTTTTAAATTGCAGAATGTGTTAACTGCAAAAAGTTTGAGAAATGTAATTAACTTTAGATTGTGTTAACTACATAAAGTTTGAAAAATGTCATATAAAAACTATAACTTTTGAGAACCCCAAATGTTGGATAATTACATTTTCAAGCCCTGTCTCTTC